CAACAGTGCAGCAAAACACAAGATAAATGAATTTACTACTTGAATGAGAAATGTCTAACTCCAAACACTGTACCATAACTCTGCTTTGGGAAGTTCTATAACTTTAAACCACTGAGGAAAATCTGATGGGCTTAAACTCTGGCAAATCAAGTGTAAAAGCATGATTAGGTAGGCCAAAAAGGAATTTGAAGAGTAAACAGTGAAAGACATGAAAGCTAACAGCAGTTTTTTTTAAGTAGGTCGGAAGCAAGAAGTCTGGCAAACAATCAGTGGGGACACCGACCAGTCAAGGTGCTAAAGGAGCACTCAAGGAAGATAAGGCCATTGTGGAGATGCTAAACGAATTCTTTGTATCAGTCTTCACTGAAGAGCATGTGAGATTCGCACACCTGAGCCTTCTTTTTAGGTGACAGATCTGAGGAACTGCCCCAGATTGAGATGTCAATAGAGGAGGTTTTGGAACAAATTGATAAATTTAAACAGTATTAACTCATCAGCCATCAGATGATATTCACCAGAGTTCTGAATGAATTAAGATGTGAAATTGCAGAACTACTAAATTTGTATGTAATCTATCACTTTAATCAGCCTCTGCATCAGATGATGGGAGGTTAACTAATGTGACACCGATTTTTAAGAAGGCTCCAGAAGTGATTTTGACAATTACAGGCCAGTAAATTTAATCTCAGTATCTGGCAATGTGATTGAAACTATAGAAAAGAACCAAATGATCAAACACGTAGATGAACATGATGTGTTGGGGAAGAGTCAACATAGCTTTTGTAAAGGAAAATCATGCCTCACCAATCTATTACAATTTTTGAGGGTTCAACAAACATGTGGACAAGGGTGATCTAGTGGACTTTCCAAGTGTACTTGGACTTTCAGAAAGCCTTTGAGAAGGTCCTTCACCAAACTCTCTTAAGAGAAAAAAGCCATCATGGGATAAGAGGGAAGGTCTTCTCATAGATCAGTAACTGAAGATAGGATACAAAGGATACGAAACAAAGGGTAGAAATCAATGATCAATTTTCACAGTTGAGAGAGGTAAATAGTGGGGTCCCCCAAGGCTCTGTACCGGGACCTGTGCGGTTCAACGTATTCATAAATGATATGAAAAAGGGTTAAACATGAGGTGGCAAAGTTTGCAGATGATACAAAATTACTCCAGATAGCCAAGTCCAAAGCAGACTGTAAAGAATTACAAAAGGATCACACAAAACTGGATGACTGAACAACAAAATGGCAGATGAAATTTAATGTTGATAAATGCAAAGTAATGCAAATTGGAAAACACAATCCAAACTATAAATACAAAATGATGGGGTCTAAATTAACTGTTGCCACTCAAGAAAGAGATCTTGAAGTCATTGTGCATAGTTCACTGAAAACATCTGCTCAATGTGAAGCAGCAGTCAAAAAAGCTAACAGTGTTACGAATCATAAGAACAGGGATACATAAAATGATAGAAAATATCATAATACCAGCATATAAATCCATGATACTCCTACACCTTGAATACTGCATGAAGTTCTGGTCACCCCATCTTAAAAAAGGTGTATTAAAATTGGGAAAAGTATAGAGAAGGACAACAAAAATGATTAGGGATATGGAGCAGTTTCCAAATAGAGATTAGAAAGACTGGGACTGCTCAGCTTGAAAAAGACGGCTTACTTTGCTTAAGAGTCTTTAGTGAGGGACCTTGTCAAAGGCTTTCTGAAAATCTAAATACACTGTATCCACTGTATCACCTTTGTCCACATGCTTGTTGACCCCCTGAAAAATTTTAGTAGATTGGTGAGTCATGATTTCTATTTACAAAAACCATGTTGATTCTTCCCCAACAAATTATGTTCATATATGTGTCTGAAAGTTTTGTTGTTTACTATAATTTCACATTTGAGTTCCGTCAGACCTCTTGGGTGAATACCATCTGGACCTGGTGATTTATTACTGTTTAGTTTATCCATATGTTTCAAAACCTCCTCTAATGATGCTTCAATCTGGGACAGTTCCTCAGATTTGCCCTGTAAAAAGAATGGCTCAGGTTTGGGAATCTCCCTCACATCCTCAACCATGAAGACTGATCCAAAGAATTCATTTAGTTTCTCTGCAATGGCCTTATCATCCTTGAGTGCTCCTTTAGCATCTCAATCGTCCAGTGGCCGCACTGGTTGTTTAGCAGGATTCCTGCTCCTGATGTATTTTAAAAAAAAATTTGCTATTACTTTTCTTTGGCTAGCTGTTCTTCAGATTCTTTTTTGGCCTCCTAATTATATTTTTGCACTTAATTTGCCAGAGTTTATGCTCTTTTCTGCACTAGGGTTTAACTTCCACATTTTAAAGGATGCCTTTTTGCCTCTCATTGCTTCTTTTATTCTGTTGTTTAGCCACAGTGGCTCTTTTTGGGTTCTCTGTTTTTTAATTTGGGATATACATTTGAGCCTCTATTATGATGTCTTAAAAAGTTTCCATGAACCTTGCAGAGTTTTTACTTTTGGTGCTGTACTTTTTAATTTTTGTTTAACTAACCTCCTCCTTTTTGTGTAGTTCCCCTTTCTGAAATTAAATGCTACAGTGTTGAACTGCTGTGGTGTTTTTCCAGCCACAGGGATGTTAAATTTAATTATATTATGGTCATGATATATTATGGCACCCCAGCTATATTCACCTCTTGGACCTGATCCTGTGCTCCACTTAGGACTAAATCAAGAATTGCCTCTCCTCTAGTGCGTTCCAGAACTAGCTTTTCCAAGAAGCAGTCATTTAAGGTGTCCTGATGTGACATGTACCCAGTCAATATGGGGATAGTTGAAATCCCCCCATTATTATTATTATTATTTATTACTTTTAACAGCCTCTCTAATCTCCCAGAGCATTTCACAGTCACTATCACCATCCTGGTCGGGTGGTTGGTAGTATATCCCTATTGCTATATTCTTATTATTCGAGCATGGAATTACTATCCATAGAGATTCTATGGTGCTGGTGCAGTTTGGTTCAGTTAAGATTTTTACTTCATTTGATTCTACACTTTTTCACATATAATGCCACTCCCCCACCAGCACAACCTGTTCTGTCCTTCCAATATATTTTGTACCCTGGTATTACTGTGTCCCATTGATTATCCTCATTCCACCAAGTTTCTGTGATGCCTATTATATCAATATCCTCATTTAGAATGAGGCACTCTAGTTCACCCATCTTATTATTTAAGCGTCTAGCATTGGTATAGAAGCACTTTAAAAACTTCTCACTTTTTAGCTGTCTCCCATTACGTGATGTAATTGAATGAGACTTTTTTTTTTCATTTGACTGTTTCTCATCAGATTCTACCTGTGTTTTATCATCTTCCATATTCTTCTCCTTACTAGAACATAGAGAATCTCCATTAATAGATCTTCCCCTAAGGGATGTCTCTGTCCGAACCATGTGCTCCTCCGCACCTGTTGGCTTTTCCCTAGCCCTTTAAAAACTGCTCTATGACCTTTTTAATTTTAAGTGCCAGCAATCTGGTTCTATTTTGATTTAGGTGGAGCTCATCCTTCCTGTATAGGCACCCCTGTCCCAAAAGTTTCCCCAGTTCCTAATAGATCTAAACCCCTCCTCCCTACACATTGTCTCATCCACCCATTGAGACCCTGCAGTTCTGCCTGTCTAACTGGCCCTGTGCATGAAACTGGGAGCATTTCAGAGAATGCTACTACGGAGGTTCTGAACTTCAATCTCTTACCTAGCAGCCTAAATTTGGCCTCCAGGACCTCTCTCCTACCTTTCCCAATGGCACTGGTACCTCCATGTACCACGACCACCGACTCCTCCCCAGCATTACACATAAGTCTAGCTAGATGTCTTGAGAGATTTGCAACCTTCGCACCAGGCAGGCAAGTCACCATGCATTTCTCCTGGTCGTCGCCAACCTAGCTATCTATGTTTCTAATAATTTAATCACCCATTACGAATATCCGTCTCTTCCTAATAACTGGAGTTCCCTCTCCTGAAGGAGGTATCCTCGGTGCAAGAGGATACCACAACATCATCTGGAAGGAGGGTCCCAATTATATGATTGTTTCCCTCTGGTCCAGTTGGATGTTCTCCTTCCCTGAGGCTTTCATCCTCCTCAACAGCACAGAGGCAGTTAAACCAGGGGCGGGACCGTTCTACTGTGTCCTGTAAAGTCTCATCTATGTACTTCTCTGTCTCCCTTAGCTCCACCAGCTCAGCCACCCTGTCTCCAAAGCCCGCACCTGGTCTCTGAGGGCCAGGGGCTCCTTGCACCGAATGCACATATATGCCACCTGCCCATAGGGCAGGTAATCATACATGCTGCATTGGGTGCAATAAACTGGGTAGCCCCCCACTCTGTTGCATTCCTGCATTCTCTTTTTACTCCTGCAGCTGGTTCCCTTGTTTTGTTTTTATCAGGGGGTGCTTTTTGGCTTAAGATTAAGGAATGCTAAGTGTATATAGCCTCTCTCTCCCCCTCTCCCCCACCCTCCGCCCCCCGGCTGTAAACTCTCTTGCAAAACTCCCGTTATCTGCTCCTGTTTGCTAGGACATGGGAACTGAACTACCCTTTCATACTTAATGGTGTTTCCTTCATGCCAGTATCTAGGCACGTTGGCAGGGTAGCGTGGCAGATTGCACCACTTCTGCAAGTATTGTACCAATTCTGTGGATTAGCACAGGACTTCAGGTTTTCAAATCTGCTAGTGGAGCACCTTTCATTAGCATGGAATTCATTTAAAATAAGAAAAAAAGAAAAAAGAAGCAAAAAATGAATAAGACACTGCCCTGTGGCTTACATGCTCAGTAATCTTGTGAGTGCTTAGAAGTTCTGTAATGTTTTCTTTTCATGTAGGTATTAAAAATTTCAAGCATATAAAGGCATCAAAATCACATCATTTGACACTAGAAATATTAAAAACTTTTGATTGTTCTCTTTCTAGTTAAATAACATACTAAAATATCATCACTTGGTTTCCGTTTCCACCTGTAGACGCTTTGACAGAGCTGTGAAGAAGTGGCAGTGTTTCCACCATGACATGAAGAATTTTAGTCAGTGGCTAACTGACACAGAACAGAATTTGGCTAGAGCACAAACAGGTACCAGGGACCCAGATCAAGCCAAAATAAAGCAGTACCTCAAGGTAGGTTTTGACTGACCAATTCCTGACCCATTCCTTTATAGTTCAATTGTATATAGTGTTGATTGCTGAGTGGTATTTTTATATGATGTTTTTCAAATGTTTTCTTGTTCAACCTTTTTTTCTAACAAATATTATTTTTTCTGAGATATTAGCTGAAAATGCATTTAAAAATAAAATTAACATTAGAATAAGGTGCAACCAGGTAACACTTCTGTAGTTAAATGTTTGGTCTGTCTTTACTTAGTTCAGACACACAATGCCCATTCATTTCCGTGTGGTTTGTATGTTCAGCGGAAGAAGAGAATAATGCTCTGGGAGATAAACTTTGCTTGTGGGAGATGCTTTATTACCATGCTTTGTAGGAGAAACTTGATTCATGAGCAAGTCATGAAAGAGAGGTTCCATTAACCTTGTGTGGGTCCTTAACCTGTGTTGCCTGTGCCATCCTCTTTCATTTTGTAATCAAAAGAACATCCAAGATGTTTTTTTGTAAACTGCATCATGACAAAATTGCCATTCAGTTTTCATATGCCAGTTCCAATGTGTACACTCTTCTATTCTTCTTAGTGGATGCATAATATGCCTCATGTGCCACGTGACCAGGATTCATCACTAAATTTGGTCTGCTGGTTGGATCATTAGCTTCCCTGGGCCAGGCCCAGTACTGACGCTGAACGCTGATCCAGGCCCTAGGTTCATAAGCAAAAAAATAATGATTAGTTTATTGATAGCTGACTTCATTCTCATTTTGGATGACTCAAAATGATAGTGTGTATGTGTGGATATAGATATAGATATAAATAGATAGATAGTACTAATTCCATACCAGTGATTTTCAAGTTGATTAGTTCATTTGGATAAAATGGTTTGTCTAACAATGACACTTTAGATACGTGTAATAAATTAATTCCCAAGCACAAGAAAAATCTTCTGCTTTCAGTGTTACATTAACAAGCACCCATACTGCAATGGAGATAAGAACTGTCCGGTAGAGAAAGTATAGGCTGTTTAATGTCATGTGTTTTTATTTTTTGTTTTTGATTTTTTTTAATTGAAGAAGGCACTGATCTAAAATGAGCCAGGAATGAGGGAAGAAATTCCGATTATAGGAGACACTCAAAAACAATGATGCATATGGAAAATCTTACTCTTTTCAAATTCTCTAAATGCCCTGGTGTGTTATCTTTGTGAACTAGAATACTTGGGTTTTCATTAATCTATAGTTTTAACATATTTGATTATTTCCTTTTTAAGTATGTAAAATAGTGAGTTAATTATTTAAGATTTATTAAGTCACCTCGAGGTTGAAGAATTGGATTAACCTACAAGATAGACCTGCGAGAAATAGCTTTCCCATTTAGTAATCTATCTTTTCCTAATGAGAAGGAACCACAGAATAGATTTCGATGTCTGAGTGATCATTGACATTGACTAGTTCCCACCACAATGCTGTGTAGTGCCAAATACAAAGGGAAACAAAAATAGCTCACAAAGATAATTAGATATGCATAATATATTCATATTGCACAAAAATCAGTATTTTTAAAAATGCACACAAGATTTTTCAAATGAAAAGATGCATAATATATAGCACATTTTAAAATAGTTATTTCATTAAGTAAAAATCTGACTACTACCTCCTCTTTTATAGCAGCCTTTCCCCGTAACCAAACTCAAACCAGAATTCACCTTAAACCAAGAACAAGGTTATGTGGTGAATGAGTGAATAGAAAAAGGATTGTGTATAATGAATGAGGTAATGTTAGGAAGCTAAACTGGAACCCACAAAGACCTTTATATCATTCAGTAAAGATGTCCCCTTCATTGTGCACCATACAACTTGCACACTGAATGAGGCAGAGGTCCTGCAGAAAATATAGTATATGATCATGTAATCAAAGATGCATCATAATGCATATCCAAAAGGGAGCAGACTTTAGGCTATGTAGGCAGTTGTTACTTCCAGATGGTCCAGTGCTCCCCCTTTGTGAGTTTAAACATATTTTAGTTATTTATTTATGTATCGCATATGTAGAGGACATATCTGTGTAGAAAAGAGCAGACCTATATAATAAATTTGTTTGTGCCCTTTTGCCTGTCTTGCAACTCGCTGGCCACTAATTCTCCCAGGACATATTCCAACCCCTTGAAATGCATCAAACAAGGTAATTTAAAGTAAAATCAATCTGTGGAAGAAATAGTTCTTCCTCTTCTTTCTCCCCCCCTGCCACTTCCGAAAGAAAATTATCCCTGACTCGTGCTCAGAGACAGACAAGATACATTTCTGGTCTAGTGACATAAAAATCTCATGTCATTAAGTTTGGGCACTGCTTATTCCTGCAAGGCTAGAAACATGAGCTTTATGCCATTAGGGAGGGGAGATTACCAGTGGGACAAAGAACACCTTCCCTAGTCATGAAAGGGCCTG